ATTTTATTCTTAAAATTTTAATTGATTGAGATTGTTCTGAACAAATTCTGTTGACAGAAAAATATGTTTTGTTCAATTGGTGGTAACGATGGTAAGACACGTCTTCGTCGTATTTTATCCAAAACATTTACCAAAAAATTTGCTATTAACTGTTCCTGGACTGGCAGGGCATTTGAAAAAGATGTAACAAAATTCAAAATCAAAGATTTACTGATTATTAATTTAATGAAGGGTATATCATATAATAATACATTTTATGTGCCATGAGGTTCTTATAAATGTAATTTAACATTTTTTTTTATTAGGTATAATTAAAAATAAGTATCAATATTCTGATACTACATTTGAAGTAGAAGTACAAAGTTGGTTTAGAACTGCTAAAACACGATATGACAGGACAAAGTAAATTTGATAGCATTGCTACTTTTAAAAATTAACTTAATACATTATAATTTATAAATATATAATAAAATATATATACATGATGTAACAAATATTATGAGTCAACTTTTTAATTAGGTATTTAAAAAAAATATATGTTGTATGTACTTGTTTTAGTGTTAACAGTTCATAAACGCATTAAAGATATCGGAAGTATATCTAAACGTCAATTTCAGAGGCGTATTAAAAATCAATTACAATTACTACATAATAATAATCCAGCAATACCCATAAATCCTGATTTTCAATCTTCATCACAAGTATGTTTTAAAATAAAAGTTTTTTTTAAATAATATTATACTTATAATAATGTTTTTACTTTTTAGGTAATAAATTCAATCACACTTTCAAAAGCATCTTCCAATGAAGAAATTAATAAAATTAATTGTATTGAATCACATATTTCTATGACTAATAATGTGCAGACTGATCAATTTTGTAATTTAACTGTAAGCATTAGACACATTTCAATCTATTTTTACCTACCTACCTACCTAATAATTTTTTTTAAATTATAAATTATATTAAATTAATTTTTAGGATTTTTCTGAAGACACCCAGCCTATTGAAGATTTAATGTGTGCAACTAGTTCAATCAAAGACAAAAACAAAGATCTTGTGCAACATCTTCGAAAATGGGCTGTGCAGTTCAATGTATCTCACGCGTGTGCTAATGAAATTTTGAAAATTCTTAGAAGTACAGGTATACAAGTTCCCAAAGATATTCGAACAATTCTCCATGAATATAAGGTTATTAGACCTATTCTAGAAATAGAAAATGGATCATATCTGGATTTAGGTATTTACAATATTGTACAACCTCATTTAGCCAAAGAAATAGATAGCATTCCTAATGATATCACAATAAAATTGGGTTTTAGTATTGATGGGCTACCTTTAGCTAAAAGCTCTAAGACTCAGTTTTGGCCTATTCTTTTATCATTTATCAATGTACCAATTTTTTCAAACAAAATATTTCCAGTTGGTATTTATCACAGCTTTAAAGGCAAACCCGGTGATGTAAACGAGTACTTACGTCCATTTATTAATGAGCTAAATAGCATTTTAACATCAGGTATTAAAATTAACGATAAGCTAATACATTTTGAAGTAGCTCATATTGTAGCTGAAGCGCCAGCTAAAGCTTATTTATTGAATGTAAAAAATCATAACGGCTATTTTTCTTGTTCATCATGTGAAGTCGAAGGTGATTATATCGAAAATAAAGTTTGTTTCTTAGATTTTTCTGCGCCACTAAGAACAAATAATTCATTTAGATTAAAATCAAACTCTGAGTACCATAAAAATGGATTTAGTCCGTTAATAGATCTTCCAATTGATATAATAAAATGTGTGGTCTTAGATTACATGCATTGTGTATGTCAAGGTGTGATGAAAAGACTGTTAGAATTCTGGATTAAAGGAAAAAAGCACTTAAGAATTTTGGAAGAAAAAAAAGATTCCATTTCTTTATCCCTATTTAATTTGAGAAAATCGGTACCTTCAGAGTTTGCTCGTTTGCCTAGATCGCTAGATGATATAGAGTTTTGGAAGGCTACCGAGTTCCGTGAATTTTTGCTATACACAGGTGTTGTTGTCTTAAAATCAAATTTGTCCAAAGAAAAATATTATCATTTTCTTCTCATATTCGTATCTATTAGAATTTTGTGTTCAAATGAAGTTTGTAATAAATATAATAATTTAGCCTCAAAATTGATAAGAGAATTTGTTGAAAATTATTCAACTATTTACGAACCTCAGTTCATTAACTACAATGTGCACAGTTTAATTCATCTATCTTTTTTTGTTAGGCTATATGGTCCATTGGACAATTTCAGTACATTCAAGTACGAAAATTACCTTCAAACTCTAAAGAAGTCAATGAAATGCTGTAAATATCCACTTTCTGAAATAAAAAACAAAATAATAGCACTTGAATGTGAAGAATTGAAAACCATCACACCAAATAAATGTATTTTAAAGTATTTTAAAATAGATGAAAATCTTTCAAACTTTGAATTAACATTTTACCATCAAATTACCCTTAAATCTAACAACTACGTTGTTTGTTGTAAAAATATTAAAAATCAGTTTTTTATTTTAGAAAATGACGATATAGTTATTATAAAAAAAATTTACAAAAATAATAGGGATGATGTGATTAAATTATCTGTTGTAAAATTATTAAGTATAAGTGATTTGTTTAAATTACCAGTGCCAAGTAAACTTGTAGGTGTTTTTTTTGTTAATACTCATAATGTATCGGATCTTTATGAAATAATTGTAAATAATATTAAATTTAAGTGTTTTTTTGTTCAATTTCCTAATAATGAAGGAGTCATTATTTCATTATGTCATAATGTTTAGACAAAAAAGTTTATAAAACAAATACAATTGAACGATAATTAGATTGTAATATAGTTACCTATACAAATTTAATAATTATCTGTAATAAGCCGGAAAATGTAATAATTTGTCTTAAATTTAATTTAACTGGTCTTTTAAAAAATTTTGTTTATTTATATATACTCAGATATTACAATTAATACTATAGAGACATAATATAGTTGTCCTGACCTATCCCTGATAAGGATTTTTTCTATAGAAATATATTTTATAGATATAGTCATAGTGAGATCGAGATGTAAAGAAAATATCATATTACTAAAACGTTCTTCATATATTATTATAATATATAAATATTTCTACTTGTCAGTTTGCACATCTATTGTTTATAGTAAACAATACTAAACATACTTCAGATTGGGAATTTAAAATAAAGTTAGTATACAGGGTGATTCTTTTATCATTGAACACTCATTATTTCAAAAAGTATTAATGTTTAAGAAAATATTTTTTTTGCATAGTTTCAAGTTGTTAAAAAACAATATTTTTATTAAAAAATTATATTTTTAAATATTTTTTATCCTTTTAATTTTTTAAGTTTTTTACTTTTTTGAATGACAACATGTAATTTTAATTTGATATTCAAAAACAGAATATTTTTCTGAGTATTTCGATACATAAAAATTGAATTTAGGGCAATTAGTTTATGAGTTATAAGTATTTAAAGTTTAGATGAGCGGAGTAGAGTGGTACGGGGTTACCCCGCGAAATGTTTGTCCACTACTCCGCTCATCCAAACTTTAAATACTTATAACTCATAAACTAATTGCCCTAAATTCAATTTTTATGTATTTGTTGCGCCACGACAACTCTTACGATTTGTGGCAGTTGTTTGCCGTGACTTGCGCTGTAGTATCGAGTATAGGTGACCACAATAATATAACAACAAAACACCAAATAATTATGAACGGTGGATTAACACCAAAAAAAATTACTATATTGTATACACTTAACGCAATATATAATACTATGTATATGACAAAGGGAGGGCGCCCCAATCTTACAGTAGGTATAATTAAATACAAATGAACACACAAATATCAACACATAAATATCAACACATAAATTATAAATCAATTGACCTGGTACGCTGATGAAAGTGAGACTTGAGACTCCTCCGGATCGATTGCGAAGACATCGACATCCAGCTGTCCCGCGGAAATCGCTGCGGCAGCACGCGACTATAATCGTCAACACACGGTTGATGCGGCGGCACACAATAAGATGGTGGCGGCACGCAATTTGGATCGGCGGCACGCTTACGCAACGGCGGCACACGATCGAGGTAGTGGCGGCACACGGAATTACAAGCGGCGTTACACGATGATAGTGGCAGCACACAAAAGGTTAACGGTGGCACTCAAAATTACTACCAACGGCACACGTGATAGTGGCGGCATACGTGAAACGGCAAACCGTAGCGGCGGCACACGAAATTGACGGCGGCCCACGTGGTAGTGGCGGCACACGGAGACGACAAACCGTAGCGGCGGCACACGAAATTAAAAACCGCTCGTCGCACACTATACAAATTTTAAAAAGCACGGCGACGCAAAAGGCGTCGACCAACGGTTAAGCAACGACGAACGAAAAAAAACACGTTGCGCGCACGGTACCGGTAACGCGCCTGCAAAAATCCACGGCCGGCGGCACGGACACAGCGTGACCGGTTCGAGAGAGAGGCAATGAAAATGGCCAGACTGGCACCACACGTACCTGTGAACGACGCGGTGTTTGAACATCCTCCCCCCGTGAGGCTTCGCATCACCAGTGATACGGCACGAACGTTAAAGATCAATCCTGGCATGAATAGTTGGTTGACGGCTGGGTATGGAATTAGATGGTGAACAGTCAACGAATGGCGAGACGGCTGAAGTGTACAATATTATACAGAGTTCATTTACAAATTTATATCAATAGTAGATAATTCAAAAAAAAGAAAAATAGTGACATATGGTCCGTACAATTGTATAATTTCATAAAACAAAACAAAACAAGTATAATTTAAAATTATATAAACATAAACATATTAATGTGGTCACCAGATGTTATGACTCCCGAGAGGCTCAATGTTTCTAGGGGGGCCGTATGACAGCATAAAAATAATAAAACAAGAGGTGACTGTATAGAATTAGCGCAATGGCTGGTGATTATCAATCAACGGGTAACGGTACTAACTTAACAACTGGTCGGGTTATATCCCCCGTGCTGGTCAGCACCCGCGCAACACGGACAATCCCGTCAGCCCCTGGGGTTACCTCCATGACCCGGCCCAGTCGCCACATCAGCGGGGAACTGTGACTGTCAATAATCACCACCATGTCATTGACTTTTAAATTAGGAACATTTCGGGTCCACTTAGACCGCTCCTGGAGAGTGGTCAAATATTCGTTCGACCATCGCCTCCAAAACGCCTGATGGCACTGGTCAAGTAATTTCCATCTATCCCGGACATTGCGTTTGGAATCGGGGGTAGACCTCGGAGGAACGGCTATTAACGGCTGCCCTATTAAAAAATGCCCCGGCGTTATGCACTCTAAATCGCGGGGGTCGGTGGACGCAGGCGTTAACGGCCTAGAATTAAGCACCGCCTCTATGCGCGTCAACACGGTGGTAAACTCCTCGTAAGTGAGAACATGAGTCCCGATGACTCGAACTAATAATCGTTTTGTGGACCGCACGGCTGCCTCCCACAAGCCCCCGAAGTGAGGGGCGCTGGGGGGGTTGAAATGCCACTCAAACGATGGACGCGCATTCGCGATAACAACTTGATTTTCCGGGCTATTGATTAATTGGTGTAACTGTTTATTTGCCCCGACAAAATTTGTTCCGCAGTCAGAGTAGATGTCGCTAGGTAAACCCCGTCGGGCGACAAAACGATCCAACGCGGCCAAAAACGCATCGGTGGACAAGTTTGAAACTACTTCCAAATGCACGGCCTTAACCGTAAAACAGATAAACACGGCTATATAGACCTTATATACGCGCGGTTTTCGTAGTCCGAGATCACGCATTTGCAACGGTCCGGCAAAATCGACGCCTACGCGGGCGAACGGCCTACACGGTTGTACACGCGCAGCTGGTAGATCGGCCATTAACGGTTGGGCCGGTTGCGCGTTCAGCCGCACACACACAGTACAACGAGACATTACTCTATGTAGTACCGACCTGAGCGCAATTATCCAATACTGTCGCGAAATTAGAGCTGCCATGACTCGCGGTCCCGAATGGCAAGTTATTCTGTGCCATCTCTCGCACAGTAACTTGGCGAAATATGACTCTTTGGCCAATAGGACGGGATGTTTGCAGTCGTACGTTAACAGGGAATGTTTTAAACGACCCCCTACTCGGATCACCGAATCGGCGCCGATAAAAGGCGATAATTTTGACAATGATTTCGATGAAATATGATTGCTGTTTGACAGCTCGCGTCGTAGCACAGCAAAATGAACGCGTTGTGACACTAATATTAGCACACGAGTTGCCTCGTCGAGCTCTGACTTACACAAGTACTCAGGCGGACGGACTCCGAGTCTGCCCCTACGACAACATTCGATAAACCGGCGAACGCGCGCTATCACCCGGATCATACGATCAAACGAAGAAAAGCAACTGAACCATTCGGCACACACATCGTTAACAACAGCAGTGCAAACTACAGGCCGGAGTTCGGCTGAACCATCTGCGGTGATCTGTGGTGACGTTCGTTCCCAACCGGACGTATCGGTGTAAATTACCGGCGGCCCGCTCCAATATAAGGTCAAACTCGCTAACACGGACGGCATGACACCCCGTGACGCACAATCGGCGGGGTTGTTTGATGAGTCAATATGATGCCACTGACAAGTGGGTATCAAAGTATGAACCTGATGAACGCGATTCGACACATACGTTTTGAACGACTCGTGGGGAACGTTCAACCATGACAGAGCGATCATAGAATCGGACCACGCATGAATGCCGATTATATTTAATTGTGGCGCCAGTATAAGATTTAAACGACCTAACCAACGGGCCAATAAAACCGCCGCGTTTAGCTCAAGGCGCGGCACAGTTAACGATTTCACGGGTGCTAACTTGGTCTTTGACCCAAGTAAAAAAATACAATTATCTGGCGGGGCATCAATAATGCGTACGTACACTACGGCCGCGTAGCCAAGCTGCGAAGCGTCGCAGAATCCCAACAGTAAGCATGGTGAGCCTTGTCGCGCATTGATGTACCGTGGAACTTCAATCGTGATCAATGATGCCAAATCCGCAACGAAGCCAGCCCAATCCGCGTGGATACTATCGGGTAGGGGAGCATCCCATGATAGCCCACTACACCATGTCCGTTGCATTATAGATTTTGCTAAAAATGTTGACGGCGCGAAAAAACCTAGCGGGTCATAAATACTTGCTACTAGTGACAATATGCCCCTTTTTGTAAATACTGGCGTGGGGTCAGGACGGAGAGCACAACAAAAACTATCACGATCCGGATGCCATTCGATTCCTAATATTTTTGTGCTATACCCATCGACCGTGTCAAACGGGAGTGGTCCCGAACCGCGACTATCAACCGGAATTGTATTTAAAATTGATAACGTATTTGCTGACCACTTTTTTAGCTCCAAACCCGACCTTCTCAACACCGTAATTAAGTTTAATTGGAGTTCGAGCGCCTCCTGTTCTGTATCCGCCCCGACACAGATATCGTCCACATATGTTTGGTGAGTTAAGGCCTTGCGTACCGAAATATATTCATCGCAATCTTCGGCCGCTATGGATTTTAATACGCGCAATGCGAGAAACGGTGCGCAGTTCACCCCGTATGTTACCGTATCAAGCTCGTACTCAACGAGTTTTTCGAGCGGAGACGACCGCCAAAACACGTGCTGGAGTGTGCGGTACTCCGGTAGGACCAATATTTGGCGGTACATTTTACATATGTCTGCCGTAAAAACTATCTTTGGTACACGAAAACGGGTCAGTATATCGACGATGTCTTGTTGTAATTTGGGGCCCTTCAATAGACACTCGTTTAATGACAAACTTTGAGGACCCTTCGCAGACGCGTCAAATACGACGCGGATTTTGTTGTCACCATCTGCAGGTCGATACACGGCGTGGTGCGGTATAAAGTATGTCCCGGGTGTTTTTGCCACTGACATATGACCTAATGCTAAGTATTCGGACATAAAATTACAGTATAACTCTCGTAGTTTGGAGTCCGTCGACAGCCGTTTCTCGAGATTTTCAAAGCGTTTGATCGCGTGTTCACGGGAACCTGGAAAACTTAGCGAAGACAAGGCTGTGCGCGTCGGTAATGGCACGGCGAATCGTCCAGACGGCAGTCGCTTGTGTTCCGCTACGAATATTTCTTCACATCGGCCTTCATCCGTGAAACTCTCGGGGGCGGTTACCGGCTCCTCCACGTGCCAGAATTTTTCCATTAAATCTTGAATTGAGACGGTTAATGACACGGGGAACGATGCGTGGCATTCGACCTCAGTTTGGAGCACCGGCCCGATCAGAATCCATCCAAAAATAGAGCTGAACGCCGTGGGTAGATCGGCAGCTATAGTAACTTTCCGGCCGTCCATTATCTGCGCGAATAAGTCGGCACCCAATAACATATCAACGGAAGACGCAATATTGAACGTCGGATCTGCAAGGGCTAAGTTCGCGAATCGATCCTTGACGCTGGTGTCTAGAGATCGACGTGGCATGTTGGACGTGATCGACGGCATTACCCACGCCTTTGTTTTCAATTGTGGTTCCGTAGCAAATCTTGGTTGGACGACACAATCGACCATACCTCGGACATCAGCAACTGCTGCGCCGGATAGGCCAGTAATCGGTGCTGTCCAGTTTGTCAGCCGGAGTCCTAAACGAGTAACACAGGACACAGTTATGGCACTTATTTGGGATGCTGAATCGACGATGGCACGGGCCGTTTGCCAGGTACCACAATGGTCACGGATATGAATGAGGGCGGTGCCCAATAGCACGGCTGATGAATCGTCGATCCTGTGTGTCGTTGATGTAGCACAGAAGGGTGCATCGTCACTAGATGGACCGCTCTCTGAATGGCGTCGTGTTGAAAACCCATGAAGCAGCGTATGGTGTTTCTTTGAACATGTTGCACAGCGGAGTTTTGAATGACATTTGTTGGCCCAATGATTGGTCGATAAACACGTGTAGCATACACGGTTATCACGAGCCCATTTGTTGCGGTCCTCGACCGACAACGACGCGAATTTCCGACAGTCAGTAATTGTATGCCTTTCACGGCAGTTCGGACAGGAGTCACTCTTGGAGCTCGATGGCTTCGAAACGACTAACGATGTAGTGGTTGGTTTGAACGGAACCTTTTTGACGAACGCGTTGCTGTGTGATGTAGACTGTGGTCGATTATTGGGCCTTTTCTGATGATCTCCGGCAATCTCCAAAATCGATACACGGGACTGTACAAAATTCAGCAAGTCAGTCACAGTCGGAAACTCCGGGGGGGCGGACGACTCGAATAATTTGCGTGTGGATGCCGGGAGACACCGAAAAGCCATGGAGAACACTATGAATGATCCGAGGTCCTTGATGTTCAATGCATTTAATAACGCAATATTTTCGGAAAAGAGCGATACAAAATTATTGAGATCGAACAACGTTTCTTGCTGAGACACCGGTGCGTTGAGTAACTTGTCGATCAATGCATTCGCGACTAATCGCGGGCGATGAAAACGCGACGATAACGTGGACCACGCGAGGTCGTAATTGTCACTGGACACGGGTATATTGCGTATGGCGTCAGCTGCAGCACCCTGCAAACATCCGATCAAATGTTGCATTTTGTCGATTTTCGGTATGTCGGTCCTATCGCCAACAAGCGCGAAGAACCGATCGCGGAACGTGGGCCAATAATTAAAATCACCATTGAACGACGGTAACGGGATTTCAGGTAGTCTCGATGTTGGCTTAACTGGTACATCGCTGGCATGATTTTGTTCAGTTAGACCGCGCTTAGCATTCTTGAAATTATCGTAATTGCCTTGCATGGCGATTGCCGTAATAGCATTGATAATAGAAAGCACTTCGGCTGGCAACTCGGGTGAATATTCGCTTTCGGCATTTATTTCCAATAAACTGTCTAACGCATCATTGTCCGCTGCTTCGAATTGTGCCCATAAATCATCCAACGTCGCAGCCGCTATATGCAGTTCATCCATAAGACTAGGATCAATTTTTGCGCGTTTAGCGAGGCTATCAATTGATCGAATTTTCTTGACAGCGATAATACGTTTTGTGTCAGCTCTGGTGATAAGACGTCTGACGCGTTTTATTTCCTTATCTTCTGCTGTCTCGCCCATGTTGACTGTTGTCTGACTATGACGCAAAATCAATGACGAAAGTTGGCAATAATCGATCGACGACAACGAGGCAATAACCTACGGAACAAATTAGGTGCCTATCACGAATCGGGTATAGCCTATTGAAATGCGCGCTGTGCCATTATATATATAAAGAAATAATAATAAACCCAGAGTATAATAATAAATATTAATTAAACAAATAATAATTTGATATGACGAATGCGACACTAATGTCGACTTGAATGAATTATTTGAAACCGAATCTATCCCTAGCAATAATCGCTGAATTATGAACAATATAAAGGGTCACTCATTGATTGAACACTCGAACCAAAACGCTAATTAAATAAATAAGAAAACCACGCTCTGCTACCAAATGTTGCGCCACGACAACTCTTACGATTTGTGGCAGTTGTTTGCCGTGACTTGCGCTGTAGTATCGAGTATAGGTGACCACAATAATATAACAACAAAACACCAAATAATTATGAACGGTGGATTAACACCAAAAAAAATTACTATATTGTATACACTTAACGCAATATATAATACTATGTATATGACAAAGGGAGGGCGCCCCAATCTTACAGTAGGTATAATTAAATACAAATGAACACACAAATATCAACACATAAATATCAACACATAAATTATAAATCAATTGACCTGGTACGCTGATGAAAGTGAGACTTGAGACTCCTCCGGATCGATTGCGAAGACATCGACATCCAGCTGTCCCGCGGAAATCGCTGCGGCAGCACGCGACTATAATCGTCAACACACGGTTGATGCGGCGGCACACAATAAGATGGTGGCGGCACGCAATTTGGATCGGCGGCACGCTTACGCAACGGCGGCACACGATCGAGGTAGTGGCGGCACACGGAATTACAAGCGGCGTTACACGATGATAGTGGCAGCACACAAAAGGTTAACGGTGGCACTCAAAATTACTACCAACGGCACACGTGATAGTGGCGGCATACGTGAAACGGCAAACCGTAGCGGCGGCACACGAAATTGACGGCGGCCCACGTGGTAGTGGCGGCACACGGAGACGACAAACCGTAGCGGCGGCACACGAAATTAAAAACCGCTCGTCGCACACTATACAAATTTTAAAAAGCACGGCGACGCAAAAGGCGTCGACCAACGGTTAAGCAACGACGAACGAAAAAAAACACGTTGCGCGCACGGTACCGGTAACGCGCCTGCAAAAATCCACGGCCGGCGGCACGGACACAGCGTGACCGGTTCGAGAGAGAGGCAATGAAAATGGCCAGACTGGCACCACACGTACCTGTGAACGACGCGGTGTTTGAACAAGAATTTTGTGTTCAAATGAAGTTTGTAATAAATATAATAATTTAGCCTCAAAATTGATAAGAGAATTTGTTGAAAATTATTCAACTATTTACGAACCTCAGTTCATTAACTACAATGTGCACAGTTTAATTCATCTATCTTTTTTTGTTAGGCTATATGGTCCATTGGACAATTTCAGTACATTCAAGTACGAAAATTACCTTCAAACTCTAAAGAAGTCAATGAAATGCTGTAAATATCCACTTTCTGAAATAAAAAACAAAATAATAGCACTTGAATGTGAAGAATTGAAAACCATCACACCAAATAAATGTATTTTAAAGTATTTTAAAATAGATGAAAATCTTTCAAACTTTGAATTAACATTTTACCATCAAATTACCCTTAAATCTAACAACTACGTTGTTTGTTGTAAAAATATTAAAAATCAGTTTTTTATTTTAGAAAATGACGATATAGTTATTATAAAAAAAATTTACAAAAATAATAGGGATGATGTGATTAAATTATCTGTTGTAAAATTATTAAGTATAAGTGATTTGTTTAAATTACCAGTGCCAAGTAAACTTGTAGGTGTTTTTTTTGTTAATACTCATAATGTATCGGATCTTTATGAAATAATTGTAAATAATATTAAATTTAAGTGTTTTTTTGTTCAATTTCCTAATAATGAAGGAGTCATTATTTCATTATGTCATAATGTTTAGACAAAAAAGTTTATAAAACAAATACAATTGAACGATAATTAGATTGTAATATAGTTACCTATACAAATTTAATAATTATCTGTAATAAGCCGGAAAATGTAATAATTTGTCTTAAATTTAATTTAACTGGTCTTTTAAAAAATTTTGTTTATTTATATATACTCAGATATTACAATTAATACTATAGAGACATAATATAGTTGTCCTGACCTATCCCTGATAAGGATTTTTTCTATAGAAATATATTTTATAGATATAGTCATAGTGAGATCGAGATGTAAAGAAAATATCATATTACTAAAACGTTCTTCATATATTATTATAATATATAAATATTTCTACTTGTCAGTTTGCACATCTATTGTTTATAGTAAACAATACTAAACATACTTCAGATTGGGAATTTAAAATAAAGTTAGTATACAGGGTGATTCTTTTATCATTGAACACTCATTATTTCAAAAAGTATTAATGTTTAAGAAAATATTTTTTTTGCATAGTTTCAAGTTGTTAAAAAACAATATTTTTATTAAAAAATTATATTTTTAAATATTTTTTATCCTTTTAATTTTTTAAGTTTTTTACTTTTTTGAATGACAACATGTAATTTTAATTTGATATTCAAAAACAGAATATTTTTCTGAGTATTTCGATACATAAAAATTGAATTTAGGGCAATTAGTTTATGAGTTATAAGTATTTAAAGTTTAGATGAGCGGAGTAGAGTGGTACGGGGTTACCCCGCGAAATGTTTGTCCACTACTCCGCTCATCCAAACTTTAAATACTTATAACTCATAAACTAATTGCCCTAAATTCAATTTTTATGTATCGAAATACTCAGAAAAATATTCTGTTTTTGAATATCAAATTAAAATTACATGTTGTCATTCAAAAAAGTAAAAAACTTAAAAAATTAAAAGGATAAAAAATATTTAAAAATATAATTTTTTAATAAAAATATTGTTTTTTAACAACTTGAAACTATGCAAAAAAAATATTTTCTTAAACATTAATACTTTTTGAAATAATGAGTGTTCAATGATAAAAATATCACCCTGTATATAAATTAAAATTGAGCAGAGTTTATTCCAGGCACATTAAGACTTGGATTGTATTTAATGTCTATTTCGCATTATATACATATAACTAGGATATACTAACAGGATAACTAACATATACTTAAGATGAACAGGGGAAAGATTTAAAAATGAGTTGTGCTATGAAAAAATATAACAAAAACTATCTGATAAATACTATGTATATTTTTTATATATTTAAGTTCATTAACTTAACTTTTGTTTGAATATAGATAATAATTTAATTTTCAACTGAGCTTTAAAGTACTATTATTATGATAAGCTGAAGTTAACCTAACTTAAGTTTATAATGATAATAATACCTTAAAGATTAATAGAATATTAAATTGTTTAGCTATTGAATAAGTTTTACAATACAATTTTATACATTATGTTTTTGAAATTAATATTATTGAGTTAAAAGTATGATTATAAATACAAAAATTATTTTTTAATAAAATGAATTAACACTTCTAAATGCATAATATTTTAGCATATCCTATAACAAGCTTGATCCCAATAATTAATGGTATTGGTAACAGCTATCACAGGTAAACTTGATAGCTTAATCGAGTGTCGCTTCTATACTATGCGTTGATAACAGTGTTGTTTACAAATACAAGTTCATATAATATTCTATAACGTTAAAGAAGAACTTCATCCATTAGTATATTCTCATTCAGAAATAACTTTCTTAATTTTTTTTCCGTTTTGATTGCCATTGTATTTTTAAATAATTGTTTTACTTTTGATTAAACAGAGCTTCTAGTGTAATATTTAAAAGTCGCTGTATCCTGATCTTCAATCCACCAACATCAAATATGAATTGTTATGCGTACAGGCGAATCTAAAAATAAAAACAAAAAATAGTTATATACTTATATATCATAAGACAAATATAGCGAAGTAAAGTCTGTCTTAAGAGTAATTATAAAATCAATAAAAATTGAAATTTTTTTTGTACCATCAACTTTTCTAACATTACCTTCAACATTATTTTATGTTTTGTTATATTAAGATGATAAGTAAATATTATGCCAGGTACAGTGAATAAAAATGATCAAACAATCGCATAAATAATAAAATAATCAGACTGGTAAACTGAAAAAATAATCAGATAAAACTTAAAAACCGAAGACTCAAGAATCACTCTTTGTTCTCATTAATAATTATGATCAATATCTATCTGTTCCAATTTATAATGTCATCATAATAAAAATGTTCAAAAAACTGGCCTTGTTTAGCCACTTACACTTAAGATCACAATACTAGCCACTAATGATACCAGTGAAATTGTATTTGCTCAACTAACTCCGTGGATAATCTTGACTACCTATCTCACAAAAAGTCATACCCAGAAGCTATCTCTGACACTCTTTCACATTTAACTTCAAATCTAAATTCATCTATCAGTCCTATAATTATTTTTCTTTCTTTAATTATAAATAAATTTAATACTTTCCTTAATTTATTTTTGTCCAACACTCCATCATTTAATCGTTTTCATTACAACAACCTATTATAGTCTTATTAATATAATTCATATATTCAAAATGTGTTTCATTATTGGTTTAATTAATCTAAAATTTATTATATTTTAGATAAAACTTTTTCATATTCTACTAATAAAGTGATATGTTATCTTTCAACCTTCGGATGTTATTACCTGTTATTTAAATACTATAGGAGTTGAGCTATAATAGTTTATGATAGAATCAAAAAAAAAAATAAAAATATTTTAAGAAATGTATTAACTGTTTATTATCGTTCAAATTAAGAACTAATACAAAAATACATATATATAATATGATCGCAACCCCCGGAGCCACATTGCCAATTTGGATGAATCCAGCCACTGCATAAACCTATTTAATAATGATAGTCACAGCATATTACAGATAGGTATAGTGTGCATCGATCAGCGACTATAGATCACCCAGATTCAGCTAGGTCCCACAGTTCCGAAGACATAAAGAAAAGAAAAAAATGTTGTCCGCTACCTCGACAAACACATCACCTGTCAGGGCAACTCTAATCCATCCCGTAAGCCACATACAATATATATATATATACACAGACAATAAAATCGATAACAGCACTATCTGAAAAACACCTTTGGATTTTAGAAGTTACTAGGTCAACTGAAATTAAATCACATACAATCCGATATTAAAAATACATTATACCAAAACTTTTGCATTGTTAAACGGAACTTAAGGAATTACACAACGTAATAGCAAAACAATAGCGTTAAACAAGAACTTACTATATGTCAAAGCACATAATAACAACCCGGCAGCATTGAAGCTATGTCTCCCTATCCTTAGAAAACCTCAGACACACAACTAATATATCTTCTATCCACAAACTCATAAATTGTCACATGGCCTCGCATACTCTCATCTTCAAACTAAATTTTTATGTCCCTCATAGTATACTCACATGTAACTTCATACAATTACTGTACCATTCAACATTTCGACATGACTAATTATCTGCACAATATTCCAATGGCCTCTTCACAGCATTACTTGATACATGTCACATGCAGTACTACCACTGAGTAATTACCACTAATTTTCATCTATAAACTATAGTTAATCTATATATATATAAATAAAACACAAAAAAAAATTTCTATGACCTTTAATGCAATTATAATTGTTCATCCGATTACAATGAAATTTGGTACAGAGAAAGATTAAACCTTGGGGAAGAAAATAGGCTACATTTTGTCGTGAAAAAAGGTAAGCAATGGATCCAACAAGGGGAGGTTCTCAAACAGGGATTTTGAGATTTACAATGGAAATTTTTGTTTATAAATGGTTGATATTGGTTTTAATAATAATAATTATTATAAATGCTATAGGTCTGTGTATTTTAGTACAGAATATATGGAGTTCAAACCACAGTTTTGGTAGGCTAATTTTTGCATTTTTTAATACTTTAGAGTTAAATTATAGTATTATAATCATACATAATATGCACCACGTGGGGTCTGCTATCTACCGCAGGTAGATTGCCTACCTGATAATATACTGCATAATCACAAGCAAACTTCATGGACAATGCCAGTCAGGATGGCTATAAATTAAAATATAATATAATTTACACTAAAAAAGACATACCTAGCTTGCACAGGGTGTTACACCCAAAAGGAGCTGAACAATCAGAAAAACATAGTCATAGCAAAGCATAGCCGTGTCAGCTAGTTATATTTAATTATGGAATTGTACATTGATACCTCATCCGTAAATTTAAAAAAAAAATTTAGAAACAAGGTTAATTTTACTAACTCCGTAACAAGATTTTATTGATGTTCCTTACCAAAAATCCCAATACCTATACTTCAAATTGTTGGACTACATTTTCACAAACTACCTACTGAATCAAAATCACTATTTCAAGTCAGAACCTCATAAACCTAGGGGTGCTCTAGAAGTTACTTAATATAATATTATAGCACAACCTACACAGCAAGATATGTGCTCATACTTACAACTTACAAGTTACAAAAAGTTCGGTATTTTCGTTGTACATATTTATTTGTCGAATTGCAGAGCACCGTACCATCGTCGGCTACAGCTACCGTCTCCATGCCCAGTCTTCAATCAGTCAATCGTCTTTGGGTGATGGCCGATGGGTTCATGACAAAATGTTTAATGTATATAACCTTAGTATATTTTATCTGACTGCTAGTGTGGCCGTGGCGGTGGACGTCAGTGCCAGAGGGCAGACGCCACTACGCCAACGCCAGACGACAGACGCCAGACACCAATAGTTAGTAAAACTAAAACAGTACAACAGTTAGTACACCAGAGTACCATACACCAATACCAAATACCAATATTGCGTTTTTGTGTCTGTGTATTGGTTTGTGTCCCAAACATCAAACATCCCCATATCACTATTTCAGTGATGCCGACCGCGATAGCTTGGGCAAACAATTTTGATAACGGCACCGACAGTCGAGGGAACAAGGGCACGTGACCACCCGTTTGGTTGGTGGCACTGCTACCAAATACGGTTTTATAGGCCCCGCTGTGCACTGGCATCTATCAACGAATTACTTTGTTCCCGCATTAAATGGCGTCGTTCGACTACCCGACACCCGTCCGTCCGTCGACCATCTATGCACACACGCGCACGCTCGACGGTCGCCATTTTTCCTCGCGCGTACATTGCTCGGACGTGCGTGCGACATATTTTTTTTGTACTATAAACAATAACAAACAAAATGGCGTCGCCGGCAGATTACATGAAAGCCGAGGACGACGACGATGACGATCTGAAATTGACTGATCAAATACCGGTGGAGATGCCGTGCGAGATCGTCGAAACCACCGTGGTGGACCAGAACGGCCGGCAAATTATCATGACGCCCGTCCAAGGGCTGACAAAGAACGACAACACCACAATGCTTCTGCAGCCGGGGCATCACCAGCACCAGCACCACAACCACCATCACCAGCATCTCCATCCTCACCACCAGGATCTAGATGATGGTCAGCTCACTTACGTTTACGAGAGCGTCGTGCCCCAAGAGCTGTATGCCCAGCCTGAAAGTCCAGGACCGTCCAGGTAAACCGCTTGTACCCAAACTACCCATCAACCGTCACCGTTATCGGTCTCTTCGTAGTCCATACCTTGTATGGAAGTGTTTTAGTTTTCCTCACCGACTGTTGTCAAATTACAAAACTGAAAACATACACAGTTGTTAATTTCCGATATTGAGGTCCCATATAGGTGGTTTTTTATGTTTATACTGATATATATTCTAAGCATATTCCACATTAACAGTATTTTTTATGAATGCACTTAGGTAGTACATTTTAGTTGGGCACGGTTTTCAGTATGTTACTCTGTTGGCTCTATCCAATATTTAAGTTATATTTTTACTTGTCAACAATTGTTTATTTTTGATAAATATAAATAATAATTTTTAAATCAAAATCAAAATCTAGGAAAGTAATAACTTTTGTTATTAATCTTTGATAAGATTGTTAGTGAAAATTTTATTTTTTTAATTCTATGCCGTTTGTTCACCAATGTAATCCATCATACACTCGGTTTTATATGTAGGGTTAAATTGTGACCATTTTGAAGGCTTGGAGGAAAATTTTAAAACCTTAGTTTAAGCATTGTAAATGATATAGTAGGTACAATGGATAACATCTTTACACTAACAGTACCTACCTATTATTTTAATTTTTGGAATAGCTATTCCTATTTTTGATACTAATTTGGAAAGGCTTCACAACTTTGAATCTTAAGTCAGAGGATTGACTGAATAAGTGCCATTTCAAAATTAATTATATACTCCTTTTCAAAAGAGAATATACCGCTTTCACGCATGTCGAAGGATTTGATTCGCGCCGCCGACCGGTATATTCTCTTTAGAAAAGGAGTATAGATTATTATTTTATTCCATTATTTAAGATAGTATTTTTATATGATTTTTTATTATAATTCCTTAATGGATGGAAGAATATACAAATGGATGGATACTATATAAATATTGTTAATCATTTATTAAAGATTGTATACGATATTGAAACATTATTACCTATTTATATTTTTCGGCTATTTTTGTTGTACCTCATAACTCTGTACACTTCCCTCTTACACTAATCAGTTTTCATAGGATTTTGATAAGTTAATTATCCGTAAAAAAATTATGTAAGATTAAATTTTAAATGTGTATAAATGTATTTAAGTACTTCCTAGCTTGTCAAAAAAAAAGTTTAATTCAATCTAGGTAAGACGATTCAATAAATTGAGTAATTGAGTGTTCCTTAAACTGGTAGTAAAAACAGTATATTAAAAGTTTGTAGTCATTGTTGACAAACGTTAATTATTTTATTTAAAGAACAAATTAATTTGTTAGATGACTATTAATCAGAATATTTCTTATTAAATAAGAAAACTATAAGGTTGTTTAAAAAATTATTAATTGTTGTAATTACATCTCTGAGCAGTGTGAACTATTGATAAACATAAAACTGTAGTATATTATTCTATGTATTTTATCCACTGCAACCTAAACTAACTACAAAAAAAAAAATGTAATGGAAAATAACAATAATCTACAAGTTAAAAAACATGGTAAAAAATAAATCCATTTCCAATCACAATTTTCATTCCTTAATTCACATAATTTTGAGAATAGAACATATTTATTTAAATTGGGTATGTTTGTAATCTATACAATATGTTGTGCACTATAACTTATAAGAACATAAAGTGTATGAAAAAAATTACGTGATTGATGAAGAGAAGAAAGACATCCATTTATAATACCTACCCAATGTTAAGGAATACAAATTTAATGAAAATTACTGTTTATTTCACTAAAATGTATAACATATTATTATGTATTTGAATAAATAAAAATGTAACTAAATGAAAATAAAGCTGGTACAACTTACAAACCATGAATTGATTAACAGTTTTATTTTGTCTTAAGTAATTTTCAAGATTATGAAAGTCTAGTTTTTTTTTCTAGTTTTCATTATTATTTTTTTCCTCAATTACAATTTGAAATATATGCATTAATTTCTAATAAAATAATAATATTATTTTTCTTAGGTTAAGGAAAGAAAATACTGAAGATCATTATTTATCACAAACTAATACTCCATCGCCACCAGAACCAGTACAACTTGGTAGACCAAGAAAATGGGAACAGAAGCAAGTTCAAATTCGAACATTAGAAGGAGAATTTTCTGTAACCATGTGGGCTTCAGGGACAGATGACGGTAAAAATCATCTTCATTATAATAATATTACAATTTGATTGGATTATTTCAAGATGATCAAAAAATAAAATAATCCTTTAACATAATATAGATTACATTTTAGAAGAAGTTAGCAACCCTGAACCTGATCCTGACCCTGATTATGAAGAATATATGACTGAGCAGACTATTTCTGAAGAAATACCTCAAATTAACCTTAGTGATCCAAAACAACTTTCCGACTTTGCGAGGTATGTTCAATTAAAATTAAAAATTACACTTTTTATTTATACTAGTTGACCTTATGATAATGTTGTGTTGCTTATAGACCTGGCCATAAGTCAAAAGTGAAAAAATCTTATAGTTCAGAAATGATGGACCGTACTATTGCTTGTCCAAACAAAAACTGCTCAAAAATGTTCCGCGATAACTCAGCTATGCGAAAACATTTGCATACTCACGGACCCCGTGTTCATGTGTGTGCAGAGTGTGGTAAAGCATTTGTCGAGAGTTCAAAACTAAAACGTCATCAATTAGTACATACTGGAGAGAAACCTTTCCAGGTATACAAGACATAATTAAAATAAACCCATTGTTCATTAATATTTATTGAATGATACATTTTTCAGTGTACTTTTGAAGGTTGTGGTAAGAGGTTTTCATTAGACTTCAATCTCAGAACACATGTAAGGATACATACAGGTGACCGACCGTATGTGTGTCCGTTCGATGCATGTAACAAAAAGTTTGCCCAATCAACTAACTTGAAGTCTCATATTCTAACACATGCTAAAGCAAAGTATGTATTGTAACTTGTTTAACTAATGATTTAAATATAAATACTGACAAAAATTATTATTTTATAGCAGGCATATGTCACGACCAAGACCTAGTTCAAATCGGTCAATAACTCAGGTACAAGATGATCTAAATCAACAGTATGTTAATGTTGAAATACCAGATGTTGATCATCAGCATTTTATTGTTTATGCTGAATAATGTATAATATATGACACAGTAAGTAGCAACTTCATTGTTATAAAAGAATTGTAAATTATAGTTTTTTTTTATTTACTAACTATAATTTTGAATTAATGTTATCTCAATTGAAATTAATATTAAGATGATGTTTCACACTTAGTGTATTATTTTCTCTGTTAAGTTATAAAATTTTCCAAATTCTTTGACTTATTCCTGTGGTTTTTATAAATTAAATATAACAATGATATTCCTAGTAAGGAATTTGAAATTTTGTCTTTATACGAATAGACATGCTATGTGTAAAACTTAATTTCATTGAATTATATTAGGTAATATTTAATTCTGTATAAATCAACTAATAAAAATGAATTAAATAAATAAAAAAAAAAAAAAGTAATACTACATTATTTGTGTAAAACTAAAAATTTTATCTACTTAATATATAACTTTAACCGGATTATACCGCGCCCCACGAGAATATTACAGTTTTTTGCATGCAGACTGTTGGCATTCCACCACTTGGTGCCATATAATGTATGTCAAATATGTGGCGATGCGCGGAATCGAATATGTTTTTGTCGGGTGACAGTAATACTCTCTCGTGGGCCGCAGTATAGTAACTGTAGTAAGATGTGTTAATAATTATAAGTTACAAATATTACAACAACATTGACCCAATATCTTTCTTCTCTTACATTATAGTTTTCATAAATATTATGTTGTTTTTCAATATTTTAATTTTTAAGATATTTGTGTATAATTTATAAATTTGTATAACTAGCTTATAACCAAACTACAGAAAATATTATTACCTTTAAGTTTAATAATAAGTAAATTCACTCTAATATTAAAACTAATAAAGTTAAACGAGGACTGCTGAACATAAATTTGGTATGTTACACACTTATAAGACTAAAATAATACATGTTAGTGAAATTTCTACTCAAGTAGATAAGACTCTTCTTTAAGAAAGAAAAAATATATAATTTTAATTGTTAAATATATACAAAAAGATGTCAATAAAATATCTTAAATATTATGTTTTTAGTTATTATAATAGTTGTGACTCAGCCAAATCCATTCTCCTTATATGAAAACACTACATTTTAAAGTCTTATGACCCGTATTTGATATCTGGTTTATTTTGAATATCTCAGGTTTCATCTCATCTTTCATAAATTGTGTAGGCTACTAATTTCCTGCAGAACAAAAGTATCAAGAATAATATCAATTATAAAATGTATTTTAAATTTATGATGTAAACTTATAAATATTTTTTTTTAGTAATTTTATAGTCGACTAAGCAAAAATAGATTTAAAAACATTTTTTATACATTCCTAGAAAAAACTACAAACTTAGTTATTACTTACTGTGCTTAGGCAAAACTGTCAATTCAGTTGTATTTTTGTTATATTTCAAATGGTAGTTATTTTATTAATGTCAATTAGATAATTACATACTATTTGCTTTATGATTTTATTAAATTGTTGCATTTTAATTTTAATATTTTGATTACAAATTTTTTCAGGTGTAACGTGATGATAATTTGTACCTCAAACCACGTGACTGAAATCAAAACCTACTCTAAGAGCAAGATTATAATGCTGAATTTTGTACATATCTACTACGTAATAAGTAAATTTAGATTCATAAAATACCTATTTTAAAAAAATCCTTCTCATTGAATGTTGGTATTGATATGTTAATAATTAATTAAAAATAAAAAAATTATAAATTGTTTTTTATATATACATACAACTTTTTAGTTGTTTAAATAAGACTGCAATGATAATAGAGAGCAAATAATGTGAGGTTAAGTTTATTTTCTCTTTTTTTTAACTTATATTAAGAAACTTAATTTATATGGCTTTTTCAGTGATCATGATGTTAGATAATCATTTATGTATATGTATGTAATATATTTATATTTTTGAATGTAAAGAGAAATTGATATATTATATTTTATTATATGTATTGTATATAATATATTTTGTTGTCTCTTATCATGTCTAAAAAAAGTTATATTCTATACTACAAATTGTAGTAGAATGATGTGAATACTAAATATTATATTTATAAATTATAATGATTACCACTATTTTATCAGTATTAAGTATTTGAATAAACCATATTATATTACATGATATAAATTAAAAGATATCTTTTCAATAATACTAAAATTTAGGGAAATAAAATATATTAATGGTGCTAACGTATTTAAAAACATTTTAGTAAATTTAATACTAAAATATTTAATGTTCTTGGTCCCAACGAGTTGAATAGTTTTTAAATAGCTACAAATAACTAAGATCTAGGCAAAAAATAATATAGTATAATAATTATAAAATTACTTTCTGTTAAATTAATAATAGTGTGTACCTACAGTGGTAGAATGGCCAGGGAAGTAGAGATATTTCCCTATACTGGTGAAAAATTAATAATAACAGATAATGATCCAAACCAGCCACAGCCCATTGACGTTTTATGAAAAATATACACTAAGTCTAAAACTAACTATTACATTATAATAAATACATCTACTGGCTACTTAACTGTGACAATCCTATTCTTAAAATACGTTTATTCATTCGGTAATAATGTTATTACTGACCAGTTGATAAAATGCGGCCTATTGAAGGTTAGATAATAAGTAATGTATTTCAAATTACTTCACGATGCCTCTGTAATTTTTAATATCAACGGGCTTTCCATAAAATCGTTTTAAGGGGCAACAATTAGGCAATTTCTAATCTCGGCTTACCCGTCCGGGACCTATGTGTTAGTTGTAAGTGATTATTAGTTGAGTGAAATTCTATGCGGGTCCACTCCTCTCGTACGCACATGAGCATGTCTTTAACTGAGTTTAACTCGATAACAATATAAAATTCACTACGAATTTATCATATTTATTTATTATATTCATTGTTTTAACAAAATATAAAGTTAGTCAACAATCAACATCATCTGAATTTGATTCTGAACAAATATTTGAATTCAGCAGAAAAATGTCTGTAAATCGTACGAAACACTCAGTTTTTAATTTTAATTGGAATTTCAAAAAGTTTATACTTCAAGTTTTTATTTACAGTTCAAATTACTTTGAATAGAATTTGTTCCAGAAAATCCGGTTACCGCGATTTAGGTACTCGTGCCCCGAATAAGTACTCTGGGGACTGGGAGTTGGTGTTGTTGTCGGGTCTGGCCATTAACATAATAATATCATTAAATTAATATGTAATATTTTACATTTTTGTTTGATAAAATATTAAGTTTATATACCTATTTTATTAGGTCTATATTTATGTATATAAATAAATTACACAACTATTAATTTTCGGGGGGGGGGGCGACCCCCCCTCCTTCCCTTGTATACGTATAATGTGTATAATAGTCACCTAATCAAAAGTTAAGTTATCATAATATTTTATCCAAGCGTTATTGTCAGCACCTTTATTTTTAAAATCAGCGGTGGACGGTGTTAGGAAATAGGAGATAAAGAAAGAGATTTATGCTCAAACTTATTTTTTGAGAGTAAACTCGTTTACTATTAACAATATTATTTTACAATAAGCACGTCGGAACCAGTACGTTTTTAATACAAAACATCTTATCTTTTTTTTTAATTTTTAAACGTAATACACAATCCGTATCGACTAGACGGTATCATCCCATTTCGCCGAATCCTACTTTACCGACAAAAAAAAACAGTTGTATACGGATTAATATAAAATCCCATTTGGCCGAATGCTATTTTTTCGAATCCCATTTTGCCGAAAAATTTAAAATAAAATTGTATTTGTTAGGTCATAAAGACTAAAAAATTAATACAAGGTTCCTAATATATTGTGACAAAAAGTGGTTAAATAAGTTTTTAATATTTCTAACTCTAAAATTCAAAAATTCCCTTTTTTCTGTCGCTTTTCGCTATAATTGATGTATTATTAAAGTGGGAAGAAAGCTATTTCAGGTGACATCGTCGCGGAAACATCGTTCCGTAATCTTATCGCTGATAAAGTGACAATAGTAATAAAAACTTACATCTACAAATGTAAAATGTTACACATATAATGATGATGAGTTTACTCACAGTCACTCTCTTTATAATCTGCAGTCACATTTGCCACTCGTACTAGTTATTTAAGTGTTGTATTTTAAAAGTGTATTTTAATATGTCTTGGTAGTTGGTATACAATTAATTCAAACCGCGGCAAACTGCTATTAGTTGTAGATAATTATATACATAGGATTGACCGAAATAATGGAAATAATGAATATTATAAGTGTATTGATAACTGTGGAGGACGAGCAATATTAAGATCGCAAACGACTGCAATAATATCCAAAATTCATCATCACCCGACGCATGCAAAATGTTTGTCCACTACTCCGCTTGTCTAAACTTTAAATACGTAAACTCATGAACTACTGGTCCTAAATTTGATTTGTATGTGAATAACGATTTTTTTTTTACTACGATAACTTATAACAAACCTTGTATTAAAAATTAACTTAAATAAATTAAATTTTAAAGATTTTGACTATATATTTTAAAATAATATTATAACGAAACAAAATTCTATTTTACTATGCGAGATGGGTTTCGGCGAGATGGGTTTTCGGCGAGACGGGATTCGGCGAAATGGGCCCAAATCCGACAATAAGCATATATGAGGAGAGTTACAAAGATTGACATGGAAATTTGATGAAAGAAGCCACCCATCGATGGCACTTTCTATAGATTTTTAATTTTTTTTTTTTTTTTTAATTTTAAGCTTAACTTAAGAGATCACGACACCACTTACGCTTCAGGCGTCTAGGGGGATTATCAGGTATGGAAGGAGTAGATAAGTTTTTTATGAGGTCGTTAGGGCGATTAATTAGTTTGGAATAGAATCTTTTATAATATATTTTGGCTTCGTCGTTAATTGTTTTGAGTTTGGTGTCAGTATGAAGGGTGTGATTAGACACGTAGGGTGGTGCGTTCATTATTTTTCGGAGAGCGATATTTTGAAATGTT